TTTTTTTTTTTTTTTTTTTTTTTTTTTTTAGAGTCGGAGTAGATGAAGAAATAGAAGGACTTTCTCATAATGGAACGCGTAGTGTAAGTATGACATAGTTTTTATTCTCTATCTCGTGCTATCTAGAAGAATTAGTATCACGTAATGCAGGATAGAGACATGTAGGCTGTTTGCATATATATATACACACGTATATATTAATATATCTATGTGTTTGTATAATTTCGACACTCTATACATGATTAAGTACGATTGATAGCAAGATTTACGATTATCTGAATATAGCATTTTGCATGTATAAAGCAGTGTTCTTATACTCTGTAAGTTGATTAATTATTTATAACTTCGACAATAATAATTGATAGAATAAATATAACGATGTATATTAAAAAGTACACTATATTAAAACGAGTATAGGAATATTTGCTTTAAAAAGACATAAAAATGTAGGCATTTGTGCATGTAAGTTTTTATTGTTTTATATAATGATCTTTTTTTATGATGTTGCTTTTACCCAGGTGTACAATTTGTTAAACACTATCGGAATGCATACTGATCAGCTGAGTCTTCTCATTAATTACAAAATTGAAGCTTCGAAAATTTTGTTTTGCCATGCTCATGCTAGTTTTCTTTTAGTATGGAAAGTAGTATTGAAGTATCATAGATTCAGTAACAGTGAATTGAATGCTATATAGTGATTGTATTGACATCGGTACAATGTCGGTGAACTCAATTTTTCGATGTTATAGCTACATAGTAAAAATATTATAGCTACATATTAAAACATAGTTAATAGTTAAAAGTATGCCTACCTATTTCAAGTTCTGCAAAATGTTTTATGATATTTTTTGAATCATGAATAACATTTGTACGAAATTGCTTTATCGAAATTGTACCGATATCTAATCCTCACATCCTGCGAACTTGCATGCATGTTACCATTACTTTGTAATATTCGACAGTGAATTATAAATATTCGCAACTAAAAAACGCGTGCGCGAATGTTACGATTTACAAGACAATTTAATTTATCAATGTTAATAGTCTGGCGGCGAGGGTGGCTACTGTGATCTGGACATACATAGGGGAAGAAGTCCGCCGGTACGTTATCATAATTAAAGATTGACTTGACGCACTATTTTCCTGTTTGACAAATTGAAAGTTCAGACGATTTGACTTATTTTTTTGTATGTATTTCGATGACTCACCCATTCTCACAGTTCGATTTATTATTTACACACAAATATTAATAAATATATTAATTTAATAAAACCATTCAGCATTTATATAGTAGATAGTACATACCATATTGAGTAAAAAAAAGTCTTAGTGAATGGTTGAAAACTCAATCATATGGTGTGTACTACCTACCGTATAAATGCTGAATATTTTTTTTAATTTCTTATTTAAAGTGTATTAAAATTAATAATTGTTAGAATTTTGTTACATATATTGATAGAACTCGAGTAGTATTAATAGGATCTGTAGCAAAAAATGGAAATATTTGTCTTTTTTTGGAGGGGAAGCATGCTAAATTTATAAAATTAATACGCTATATTTTCAATTTTGATTTTTTGGTATAAAAATACGGAACTCTTTTTATTTGGTAAATGTTCATCTTCATACAGCCCTCTCCATATGATCTCCGAGTGACTTTGATCTTTGACCCTCAAGGAAGTCAAAGTCATTGATCTTTTCTGTTCTCATTGAAAAGTTACAAACAAAAAAAGTGACTTTGAAAAAAGGTAACTCTTATCCACTATGTAAAATAGACATTCTCCGCTCAAAAATATATTTTACATAATTAAGTTGATACAGAATTATTTATATATCGGATATAAAGAAGCTTTATTTCGAAGAATTGTGGTATTCATACATTATAATCGTATTGTCTTTTAAATAAAAATTCAGCTATATAGTGTAAGTAATGTTCTTATACCAAAGCGTGGTAAATCGTTCTATGTTTTGTGTTTATTTCCTGCTTTATTAAAATAGATTTCCTCCTTCTTTAAAAACAAAAATTCTCTGCTTTAAATAGATTTCCTGCGAGAAAATCTTTGTTTTTAAAGCAGGAAATCTATTTTAAAGTAGATTTTTATTTTTAAAATGTTCCATTTATAAAAATTGCTCATAACTTTTTAATGAGTAACAAGCGACGGAAAAGGTCAGTGACTTTGACTTCCTTGAGAGTCAAGATCAAGATTACTCGGAGATCATTTGGAGCGAGCTGTGTAAAGATGAACATTTACCGCGTTAACTTCACAGATCCTACTTTTGAGTATCCGTGAAGTTAACATTACATTTTATTAATGAAAGAAATAATGACAGTTCCAGTAGCATTTTATATAATTCCTTATAAAAATAAAAAAGAATTCCATTTTTTATATTAACATTTTTTATATTAAAAAACCAAAATTGAAAAATTTCAGCCGAAACTCTGTTAAAAAATAATTGTAGAATATAAATCTGTGTTAGTACTAACTGGAAATGTCAATAGAATTGCATAAATTATAGCGCGACACAATTCCTTCAATATTGTATCTTTTATACAGGGTGTTAAAAAGAAACCATTCAGAATTTATAATTTATATTATGGTAAATAGTACAAATCATACTGAAAAAAAGTATTAGTGAATATAGGTGCAAAAATTCTACCATTTCTATATAAATAATTTAAAATATAAATATTTATATTTTATATAATATTATATAATATTTATATTTAATTTGTTTATTAATAACTTTATTTATAACTTATTGAATTCTACGTGCGACGTGAAGATTTACTTCAGTATTCTGAATCTTTTGATTTAATTTCCTTGTTTATTTATCATATAAATACTGAATGGTTTTTTTAACATCTTGTAAAAGGCGCATACAGTTCATGCAATTCTTGTAAAAGTAACTGCATCAAGTGCCGCTTGATATCTTTGAAGCCATTTTTTTTATTATTATTGTAGCATGTGAATGTAAATCAATTATATGATTTATACGATCCGTCTGCTTATATTGCAAATTGCAGATTTATTTTATTAAAGCTTTTGATTGAATTTGTTGGCTGCACGTGCTTCTGGTTATTTTTTCAAGTATGGTTTTTGTTATCCATTCTGTATGTTGGAGAACACTAAAATACTTACATTCATTAACAATACCTACACAGACATGTTTAATATGGAACACCAAAAGTCATGATTAATAAGAACGCATGTATTTCTTCATAATTAATAATAAATGAAAGTAACTCCGAACATCCAAAAAGGATGTCATTAGTATATTAATATACTAACGACATCCTTATTATTACTGTACTTTTATGCTTAAAAAAAAATTAAATATGTATACTTATAACATGTATACTTATTTCGATTTTATTTTAACGCATTAATAAATATATGTTTATAAATAATAAATGGGAGTGGTGTACTTTTGTTTAAAGATTAAAGGAAAACTCGCAGAATCATACAGGATGGATAATTGATGCATTGTTCACATTTCACAGTATAATTCTATGCAGGACGGATCGTTACCAGGCGGCGGTAGTAGCAGTGGTGGTATCGCTGGCACGAAACCTAACGAAAAGGCATTGCTCGCGAGAATTTGGGGCGATTTCGATACCAAATACATGAAGCCCTTATTAACGCATTCCAGGCCTACGTTATTAGAAACGTTGCCGGTCTGTTGTAGTCCGCTAGCAAGAATTCTCACAACCACGCAACAAATGACGCAGGTACTGTCCGAGTGTTGAAAACTTCATTTTAAAACCAACTGTATATCATCTTAGATGTCTATATTATATTGTTACAACATAATACATTAGATTATGGAATAAATGAAAATAATTTTACCACACATCTATAATATAATTATTATACATTGCAATAGGACGAGGTTGCGAGGAAGGTCGATTCAGATTCAGACTTCTGCTTGGAAGATCGCGAGATGGAACGACGCAGGACCAGCGTTCAGCCGGTGAGTTTCCATCAGCCTAATCTCAATTATACTGTTAATCCATGCTATCAGCCTAACAACAGCACCACAGACGTCGGCACTAATCCGGACGAGCCCTATGTAATTCTCAATTTACACAGAAGGTAGAACTAACAGCAATCCTAACACCACCACCTTTTGTGTATCTGAACTTTTTAGGCCGAAGAAAGGAAAAGCGGGAGAATGGAAGAGTCGTGTATACATATTTCGCGTTAAACGCGGAATTACAATTTACTTTACATTAATTCCTATGTAACTTACTTTAGATTCGCATTCGTTCGTATAGTCGTATACAATTTCGTTAAGTTTCACGTTCTTTGTTTTTCACAAAGACGACTGATACAAATGAATCTCATATCTCATTTCTTTTTTTAATTCTTTACTTTGACTGTGAGTGTAAACAATAATAGCCTGTGGCTAGTGTGTGTACACTGTATATTTCTACGCATGTTCTCTATACTGTATATGTAATACAGACAATACGTAGAGGAGATGTAATCGCGCGAACGTTCACTTTAGATTCGACTTTAATAATCGCCTCTTCTTGCTTTCGTTTTTTTATATAAAATACAAGCTTGAATGTCTATTGCACGTAAAACTAATTTTATCTGGACGATATAATGTTTTGTTTTCGATTTCCGAGTTCAAAATCTCGAGTGAAACAACAACAGTGGTAATCAAGGATTTGGATGTGATAGCAGCGTAACTCGAAATCCGGTACCTTTTTTAAGAGAAACGAATTTAAGAGTTTAGTAACTAATTTCAAAAGATGGAAAAAATCAGATCTACAAATAAATGCTTTATATAATTACACAGTTCTAATGATGACTATCACCAATTAAATAGTGGAATCTCAAGTTTTATGCTGCTATTGCAATCAATATCTCAATTTTGAAAACGACAATGTCTATAATACACCGTGAATTTTTAATATATCTGCTTGCTTAAGAATAAGGGGAATGTACGTATGCTATTTGTTGATGCAAACCGACTTTTTTCTGCTCTGCCCAATCTTATAACATCGTACGTGACAGATAGTGAAATGTTAACGAGTCAATCGCGTGCGAATGACTCCTCGTAACTGCGTATTCTTTTCTGTTGAAGTGATTTATAACTGTGCAGCAAATAACTATTCTAGTCAACGATTGCCTATGATAGACACATAACGAGAATTAATGAATAGGCAATAGCGTATGATATTCATTGCATAACGATGGAATAAATTTCTTATTTATAAATTTGCGATTCGAAAATTATGTTTAATGTACGTAGAGATAACAAGCTTCTCTGACCTTTTTTTTTACTTGTGTATCTTTCCCTTCTTCTCTTTAGAGGGAAAAAAAATCACAGTCACGTACATTTGCGGAGCGCACGTTTGACTGTACTTTTTTTTCATCGGTTTTTCTAGAGAGAGAGAAACGGTGACAGTGATGATTCTAATTCCGATGACGAAGACCTCAGACTCATCGGAATGGAGGGATTTATTCCGTTACGAACATTGTAGCCGGGAAAACGCTCGACGAACGATCTATGTGTACCTAAGACCTATATGGCAAAAGACAGATTCTTCTCTTTGAATAATTGCGAATAGGTCATACAACACGCGGTGATTTTTCGAAAGTATTAATATGTACGTATAGTTTTAATGAGAACGAAGATGCCGGTTTGTCGGTTTTTTTTTAATTATAATATATAATATATAATACATATTTTGAAGTATAATATACTTCTATTTGTACATAGAGAATGTTAGAGAAGAAAATTCGGGACCTGGAGAGTACATAGTGTTTATTGAATTGAATAAGAAATAATGCTTTTCTAATCTCAACAGAGTTTTAACGTGCGAGTACCATGTGCGGGCACTCCCGGATTCTTTCTTTTCTGACCACTGAAATGTTTGCCAAATTCTTTGCAAGGCTCAAACGATCGAGCATTAAACATAATTTTCAGTGTTCATTAATTCTAATCGCGCGAGAATTGATGATTGCAACTGTAAAGACGGAAAAGACATTGAGGCTCTATTGCTGCTGTGATCTTTTAATCCTTACTGTAAAAAATTATATATTCATTTTTATAAGCTCATTTATAAGCTGGCACAAAGTGGGGAAAAAGAATATTCGTACATCTTGTCTTTTTTAAGATAATTTTACATGAAAATGTAATATTTCTGACAGAACAGATCGTTTTCGTTCGTAATATTGGAACATTAATTTTAATTCTTTGTAAAATTTTATTCGAAAGAATAAGATTGCGAATTACTTATTTTACCGACTGTGATTCTCGAGCGTTTTTTTTGCATGCAATCAATTTTTTAATGTTAAAAGATCTCTGGCATTGATCATCTTGCAATCGCGCTGCCGGCATACTTATCCGTTTAATATTTGCATGCCGCAATGTACTACTTCACACGTACCTATCTTACTTAATTTACATTGTTTTCTCCTTTTAGTTGTATATTTTTATGTTATTTATTCACAGACGAGTGTCAGGAGCTCTGCACGTAGATCGCAGTTGTGAACATGATATTTTTAAGATTTTTGGCGTTTTAAGATTTATTTTAAGGTCCCAACATTATATGTTTTATATAATTGTTGCCGGTAATCTGTCCATGTATCTATGTTTAAATATTGAGTTAAGCGTTAACTTATGTATGTAAGACATATTTCCTGAATGGTTGTTAAGTTAAAAAAAAAATCTGACGTTAAGGAATTTTTATCAGATTTAATTCCTTCAAGTCTCGCTAAGATAATTCTGGTAGTGATATTACGGGCTCGTACATTTACTTTTGTATTAATGTAACTGTTACTTATAATTTGATAACGAAGTCAATGTTGCAGATGACGCAATGTAATTTCCAGGCGTGATACTTTAGACAACGAAACCATAATCGTTGCTTAGTCGATTGTTGTCATTTTTTTTTCTTTTTTTAAAATAAAAATACGCAATATTACTTATCAACAGATTATTCTTATAAAGAATAAATTACACACGTATATACAAGTAAGAAATCGACAAAATTGTGCTTTCTGCTGGCAAATTAGCATCTTTTAGTAGTTTTTTTGTAAATAGAGAGTTAGACAAGTTTTATTTTTTCTGGCTTCGTGAGTTAGATTCACTTTGAAGCTGGGTTTTGATTCGAAGTAAATTCTAGGCCTATCTCGATGACACAATCAGCCAATCCGTTCTGTAAATAACATTACAATCTCAGCTCGTGTCCGCGATATACGTAAAAGTTGTCTGATGCGCCAGATTGAACGTAAACGATTAATCGATTAATGTCAAACGGCTTACATGTGAGAGAAAATATGGTTCTGGAGTCGATTCTTGATGTGTGTTTAATACTTTGTGGGACAGCTGGGAACCGTGATGATGATGGGAGAAGTTAGTCCGGGACCACTACCGCTGCACACACGAGTCGCCCTGCCCGGTCTGGTCGGTAGACACTTATAAAATCTTTCTTTATAGCCGATTGACCATTTCGTTTCACCTTTAATCACTTTCGTACAATTCCTGTCCGGTTATCAGTTCAAAAGCAGCCGCACGATGAGTTTAGATTGTATATATTTATTGTAAATTTTATATATTAAAATTATGCAAATTTTAAATTATTGAACAAGTTATTCTAGCCAAAACGACAAGGGCACCAAGAATTAATTGCAAAGAATCAATTGATATCTGATATTAACGTGCTGCTGATTTTGATGAAGAGTCTTTCTAAGCAATTGTATACTGCAACCGATGGCAGAAGCTCGCGACAAAAGCTCTAAGGATCATAATAGAAATTGCTGTTGACTTTTGAGGAACTCCAGT